GTGATCCGAGGGGGAGTGTTTACTTGTCGGGGTAATTGGCAGCTTCAAGCATCTCTGCAAAAAGCGGCATGGATTTATTCTTGAGAACAGCACGGCAATGGTCGGGCGATGGGAATGGAGGCTCCAGGTCCTTCAATTCACAAGCTCGAAGAAGCCACTTCCTCATAGCCTGAGTGCGATCTTTGGCAATGTCAGCATAAGGGGTCGAGACTATCTTATCAACCACAACCTTAAGGGGGTCAGGCACGCCACACTCGAGGCGCTTGGGATGTCCTTGTTTGAAGGCCTCCGAACGGAACTCGGTCGGGGACCACGGGATTCCGTAAGTGCGGTCAACCGAAGAATTAGAGGCAGCAGAGAGGTCCTGAGAGCCGCCCCCCGAGGTCGGGACCGAACGAATACACTTCGTGCCTGCTGGAAGCCTGTGATTGCAACCCTCCCACTGGGAGGCAAGCTTGCCCAGAGGAAGGACATCAGGGTCACCCTGCAACGTAACAAGATTGCGAAACTCAGCAACCAGAGGCTTGAGGCGTTTGCCCTTGGGTTGCTTGCCCACCATAAGAGCAGCAGCTCGAGAAAGGCTGATGTGCTGATCTGGAAGGCACCTCGCAGGGGCCTGTGCACCTAAGTCAAAGAGCTGCTTGAGAAGGCATTCTACAAACGCAGCACAAAACAGAGGTGGGAGCACGAGTTTCGGTTCCAATCGGATGCTGTGCGAATGATTCTCGGAGCAGGAAACGCCTAAAGACGAGAGTCTACCGTAACTATGGAAGACACAAGTGGGCAACTTCCAGCCAGCACCAAACATGCAGAGATCAAGTGAGGTTTGATGAGCACACAGCTCAGCAAGGGTTGCCCGGAGGTGTTGAGGCCACAGCTGCAAGTTAGCTGGCCCCGAAATGCTCCAAAGAATGCCCTCCTCACAACAAGCGCGAACAACAGCTTCTGCAGCCTTGATGGTCGAGGCTGCAGCTGCTTCTGAGTTGTGCCAAGCATGAATCGGCGGCGACAAGTGCACAGCAACGACAGGTTGATGCCTCAGCATGCCCAACAGGAGCTGAAGCCCTGATGCACAAGACAAGTCAAGGGGAACAACAGGGCACCTGACACTCCCTTGAACCTTGAAGTCAACCCCTTTCCCTGAAAGGCCAGCTTTGCGGACCGCAGCACACAGCCCGCCTTCGCGAGCAAAGACCTGGATGAAGACCATCGAGTCTAAGCTTTTGCCAGCAACGCGCTGGCCGACTTTCTGAAGATGCTGAGACTCTGGGTCCGACAGAACATGAAGCTTAGGAGCAGTGCAAGTCGAAGACTCTGTAGCTGGCAGGCGTGCACCAACTGATGCTAGGATCTGTCTGTCATGGGCCGAGAGCGCATGTAGCTGCGCAACGGTAAACCCTACCAAAATCAACCTGGTACCCCTCCATGGCATGGTGCAGTGTCTGAGGCGCCAGGCATCGAAGGTAACAGGTCCTCTGTGAACCGGCAAGAGTTCACCGGGAACGGTCTCCCCATCAATCTGCAAGAGGTGTTTGCCCTCGGGATTTTCGATCCAGATTTGACCTTGGTCAAACGTCGTAACGGGAAGAGCTGCATTGGGAAACTTCCCGTTCTTGCTGTCCTTGTGGACAGCAGTCAAGGCATCTTTGAAAAGAGCGACTGTGCTACACGAAAAATCAGGAAGAGCTTGATGAAGAAATTGAAATAAAAATGTTGTGGCAGCAGGAAAGGCCCTCGTGTTGTACCGCAGGCCTATGATGCCTCCTTTGGAGTAAGCACCTGTGATGAAGCTAGAACCCTGCGCGCCAAAGTCCTCAGTAGGCAGCAAGCCGAAAAGACGCTCCACGTCCGAACGACAAATGTCACCTTCTTTAGACAGGCACTCACAAGCAAAAGACTCGGCCTCGTGCGACACCAGGCAGGTCACCTCCTTGGGAGATGGCAAGACTCTGTCATCAACCTTTGAAGGAGGCAGCGAAGATTGTGCAAAAGCATGCCCATGATCACCAGTCACCCCTGACGAAGATATCTCAGGACTGGAGAGGGGTGAGACTCCAGTCCCTCTGAACCCTCAATCTGTGGAGCCATCGGAGGTGCACTCGTACTGGGGGTGCGCCTTCCCACACTTCATACACAAGTGTAACCCGAAACGGCAAGCCTTACCTGGTTTAGCGTGCTTGCAGCCTCGGTCCTTGATGTTGTAAGACCAACACATGCGCTTGCCCTTGCTCGTGGTGCGCAAGGGCATGTCCTTGAGAGCGTCGGGGAGCTCAGGAGGCGTCTTCTCCTTGCCCTCGGAATCACGCTTAGTGCCCCGGTCGCCCTTCTGATCTTTACCCTTGCCGTTCCCTTTCCAAGGCTTACGAGGGGGCTTGTCGTCAGGTTCCTGCAGCCTGGTTGGCAGAAGATAAAAAGATATCGAACCCTCGGTTGGCAAGGTAGGAAAGGCAGCGTCGAGCGGCAGGGCCCCGGCAGAGGTCCTCTTGATGGAAGGGACGATCTCAGCAAGCTTTTGCCACGCCTGACGGTCGGCCCTGAGCACTTGCTCCATCGAGATCCTCCTGAAGTTGGGTGGAGGAGATTCAGCAAGCCTGTCCATTAAAAATTT